ATAATTAATCTTGAGTCCTGATCGATGCTTGTGCAATGCATTATAATGTATAAGCTGTCATAAAATTTTTATCTGTAATACTAGAGATATGTATAAAGTTAGTACTGAGATCTGAATATACTTTACAAGAGCAAGCCCTATTAGCAAAAATTAAATTTGGGTAGTTAGTTAGCAGGAGAGTCCTCTAGAGCTCTACAGTCAGGTAATGTACTCTAAAATGTATAATAGCTTGACAAATATACAAACAGAGAGGTCAGAGTTAGGTTAAATAATATTTAATTAGGTGTATAGGAGCTTGTATGCTATCTGCTAGTATAGTATAGGAGTAATCTTGTACAAGTTATGTAATTATAATTAAATTTGCAATAAAGCCAGTAGTTGCTAATAACTAATGGTCTTAGTGAAAGCAAAAAAAAAACATTTTGATGAGTTTTATATCAATATAAATATTGTAATAATACTGATCAAAACTACTCTAGAATTTTCTATTTATAGGGTAGCTGATATGTTATTTGTATAATGTAGGGTGTTACAATATTCAAAAAAGGCATTAAATTTGACAAGTGTTTAAGATAAGTATTCTTTATTATGTTCTATTCTATTCTTTTTCTTTTTTGTTCTTTTGTTTAAGCATATATTACTTATATATTTTTTCTAATACACTATATGCACTAAATATACTATCTACATTATATGCATTAAATACACTATATACACTATTTACACTACCTATGCTATATGCATTAAATATGCTATATATACTAATTATGCTATATATGCTATATTTACTAATTACACTATATACTCTATATCTACTAATTACACTATATACATGTATATGCTATATCTATTAATTAATATATACTACTGTTTAATTATGCAATTAATCTTTAATAAATTATTGATAATTCTATTTTAGATTATGACAATATATAAATAAACAAATATATGTTTTAAATATTACTTAAATATTATAATATTAAAAATTTATATTAAAATTTAATTGCATATAAATTTCAAAACTTGTAAAAGAAAAAATAAAAAAATAAAAAAAATTTTACTTTACAAATATTTTTATATACACTAAACTAGTTAGTATTTTCTAATAAATATACTTATAGTAGAAGAACATTTTTATATTATTATAGTTAAAGTTTTTCTAGAATGTGTGCTTAAAAATATTTTTTTTGTTAAAGCAAAACAATTTACCATTAGAAGTGCATTGTGTATTAATGATCTTTTGATATATAACATTTAAGAAAGTTCTATCAATATATATAACTATGAAAATTTTATTAAACATATATTAGTAAATAAATTTTAATTATATATTTATATTAAACTATATATATATTAATTAATGATTTATCAATCAACTAATGCATAATTATAGTATAATTCAATACAAATTATATATAAAAATTAGAATAATATAAATATAACATCATATATTTAAACTTTTTTCTATATTATATTAGTTATCTTTCTTATTTAAATAAAAATTATAAAACTCATTAAGATGCATCTAAGTAAAAAAGATAGTTAGCTTAATATAAAAAAAGTTTTAAATATATGCATTTTACATTTACAAATATTTAATTTCTATATATAATTTGCATTATATTATATTATAATTATACACTAGTTGACTGCCAGATTATTAATTAATAATATATTATATATATATATATATATATATATATTGATATTAAGTTGACCTCTTTGGTCATAGCTTTTTATTAATACTTATATTGGGTATATGTTTTATATAGACATATCTCAAATGAACTATTAGATGAGTATACAACTGGCTACATATATAACTTTTCTATATTACCTATTTAAGAAGTCTGCTCAAAGGTTTTCTACTAGTTGTTATACCTAACACCTCTCCTTAGATGTTCCATTTAAGCCCTCTGATCTGATCTTTGTATTAATTTCACTAGATCACAGATTTAGATCTATTCACTTTTAACTATAAAACTATAATCCTTAGACTATTTTTATTCTTAAGATAAACCTACCAGAATGAGCCTTATTCTCTTTTACTGCTAACATGGTTTAACACTATGGCTGAGACCAACACTTGCAGTCAAAATTATCTCTTAAACTGCTATTACTCTTGTAAAGTTCATTCAAACTCTGGTACTCATTTTTTTGACTTTTTCTTTATTATCCTCTATTAGCTGCAACTTAGAATCAACAATGGACTTTCTTAAACTTCCAATCCAAATGACCTAGTATAGTATACTTATGTATTCTTTTCCTTCAGTGATTCTGACAGCCTAGTTGGTTATATGCTCATCTATATATCTTGCTATTTGGTTTATTTGACAGTTTCTATAAAGATGTTTTATAGGTGTCTATCAGTTCAATGGCACTATCAAAAGTTTGTGCTATCTCTTTACTTAGAATTTCCAAGTAGGTTTCTATCTTCTCAGTTTCTTAGCCTTCTATGCCCAGTGGTCTTATTATAAGTTTGCACTGAAGCCTTATCTGACAACAGTTTTTCACATTCTACTATATATATAATGTTATACTTCGCATAGATGCTCTAAGCTCCTAATGTTAGATAGGGCTTGACTTGGTGTATCTAAGATTACAGATGCCCAAAACCCAACTAATTGGCAAAAGACAGTTACCATAATATAGATATAATTTCTAAAATTTATTGTCCATGTGAATTGAATCTTAGACCTGCCACTTAAAGGTTGACAACCTATTCACTTAACTAGGTTGCTACACTGCTTATAATATATTATATATATACAAGTTATTTTCATTAATATTTACTTAAATCATATAACAGTTTTATAAATTTTTATATATTAAAAATTTTCTTTATATGTTAACTTTAATATAATTTCTTATTAATATTACTATTAATATGATTTAAAACCAATTCAAATAGGTTGAATTAATAAGACTAATCTATATTATATACTTAATATAATTATCAAATAAATGCATTTTCTAAATAATATAGTGTACTAGTTTTTTTTTTTTGGTATTAAGATGGCCTCTTTGGTCTTTTGACTTTTATTAATCACTTATCAGTATTGTGATTCAATGAACTACTATGAAAAGTATACAATTGGCTACATGTATAACTTTTTTATATTACCTATTTAAGGAGTCCACCTAAAGATTCCCTACTAATTGTCATACCTAACATACCTGCTTGAATATTCCACTTTAAACCTTCTGAAACTGTAATCTGTGTTAACATTACTGAGTTATCCCAGATGCCCAGATCATCATCATTCGGTCTATAGTATGTGGCCCCCACATCTGATTCAATAGTTCGAAAACCTCCTTTTTTAAGCTCCAATCTGACTTGTCGAAGTACCTTGTAAGCTCGTCTGCTGGATTTTCTGCACTTGGCACCCAACGAAACTTATATACCCAAATGTCCATTTCGTCACAAAGGTTCCAAACCTTTCTCATATATTCTTTTTGCCATGGTGTTTTTCCTCCCGCCTCCATTGTTTTTCTTGCGACCTTGTTGTCTATGAATACTGTGACCCAATGATGAGCAAGTTCTTTCCCAAATGATCGTAGGCCCAACTATGTTGCCTTGGATTCTAGCTTTGCTATGTCTGTATGCTGATACCTTTATGTCCAGTTTCCGAATGCTCTGTGTGCAAAGAGTGTTGCCGACCAACCAGTCGTTGAAGCATCTACAAATAATGGAAGTATGCATGAAGGTTTCCATACTGGGCAACCATTTTTCTTTTCTAGGTTTTGAAATAACCAAATTGCATCCTCCTTTGCCCTTACTGATAATTTTATTTTCCGATCCCATTCCCAAGGTTTGCGATACATCGCATCGATTAAGCTGTAGAACTTCAAACAGCGCACCTTTGCTGGAGCAAAAGCTCTGTTTAAACTTATTAACGTGCCTGTTACTGAAGCTAAGGATCGTGCTGTGACTTCCTTCTGTGTTGCTAAATGCTTTAGTGCTCGTTTTGCTGTTTTTATCTTTTCATCAGGTATTACTACTAATGCTTGTACTGTGTCTAAAATTAGGCCATAAAATCTGGGTTTTTGGGTCGGTTCCCAACTTTCTTTCTCTGCTAAGACCAACCCTCCTGACTTTAAATCTGGTTCGATTATATGATCTCTTTGATACTTTAAAGTTTCGATATCTGGATGGGCAATCCAAATATCGTCTACATGGTTTCTACAATGGATACTGATTGAACACCAATAACCAATTAATGCTCGCATTACTTTTGAAAAAACCCAAACTGCTTGACTTAAGCTGAATGGTAACACCTGATAATAGAACCATCTTTCTTTGAACCTGAACCCTAGCAGTCTTTGCGCATTTTCTGTCATTAGAAGATGGTGATATCCATCTTTTAGATTCAATGTTATGACCTACCAGTTTCTTTCTACTGTACTAATAAAAGTCTTTAACCCTTCGAAGTGAAAGGATTTTTCGGGTAACGTTCTGTTTAACCTCCACAAGTCTATGATGAGTCTTCATTTCTTCAGACCTGGCTTCAGTATTACAAATATAGGACTTATTTCCAATAGACCATCTGGTCGTTCGGGCCCTTTCCCAACCATAACTATTGCTTGCTTCCTTACTAGTCATACTAGTTCTTGTTCCAACCATCTTTTCTGCTCTAGTGAAAACTGATATTGTCTTGTGACCTCCTGTAATGCTAGATGAAGTAAACCTTTTGGAAATAGTAGAATTCCAAGTTCGAGCCAACTTAGAATTAGAGGTGATGCCTTTATTTTTTCTCGCCAGTACCTTACTGCGGCTGGCTTGTTTAAATTTTCTACTACTGACTGTTTGGGGGCCTGAGAGTAGTCAGCTGTTATTTCTGCTCTGTCCAATATATCTGGCTGTCTCCTGAGGTTGACCTGAATTTCCTTCCAATGGGCGTCTGTCTGATCTGGAGGTACAATTGTTTGCATAATGTCCCAAACCACCGCAGTTGTAGCATGAGAAGGCATTATTTCTATTCTTTTTTGTACTTTGAGGTCTATTTCTCTCTCTTCCTGAGTAATAGGACTCCTGCCTCCAACGTTTTGACCTGGACCCTTCATACAATTCTGACCCTCGAAAAAACTGTCTATCATTTACATACTTCCTTTTCCCCTGTTTGATGCTAGCAGCTTGTCGTGCCTGTTCTATTGTTTCGCCATATGCTGATAACCCTTCATGCTTCGATTGTGGTAACTCAACTGCTACTTTCCAACCATACTTTCTTGCCACATTTAAAACCACTATTCTATCGAGAGTCTTTGCTCTTGCGTTCTCAATATGCTGGATTGCTTCTTCACCTGATGAGGCACTCAACGCCAAGTCCAGATCATGTCCAATCACACACAGCGCATTATATTCAAATTGATCCCTTGACCTTTCAAACTTCACCTCTGGCCAATTTTTATGGATCTCTGCCCTCATATTTGACGCTTCAACTCGCTCTGAAATCATATTAACATCCTCACGCAAATATTTAATCTCTCTCAACAATGCCTTCATTACTGTCACATCCTTGGACTCCTTTTCCACCTTTTTGGTTTTCTTAACATGTGACTCTTCTACCACTGGTCTGGGCGACGTATCAAAAAATGGAGTTTCCTCAAAAAGACTATCTTTCTGGTTTTCCTCTTCACAGTGCGTACCAACAAATACCCCACTTCCTATATTTTCTTCACTTCCACTCAAAAGGTCTAAAGGTGGCTGAGTCAAATCATCGACACACGTGAGACGCTCTATCAGGTCGGCTTTGTTCCCTTCTGTGCTCAAGTTTAATCGGGCACAGAGGTTCTTTAATGTTTCTACAAACATGTGTGAACGACATACATCGCTTCGATGTGATTCGATTTCATCTCCTGCTTCTGGTAACTCCGATGTTTGCTTAAGAATCTTTCCTGGTGCCATGCATGCAAAGCGCAGTAGTAGAACCTACTAAATTATTAGGTATTTCTCTAGTACTATAAAGAACCTTTCGATTAGCTAGAAAATAAGGTTTCGGGCAACTTTGAAAAGCAGCGAAAGAAAAGCACAAATTCTTCTTTTGAATTTGTGGCTTATTTATACTTATCATTAGCCTCGCTAATCAATGACCTAATATTAATTTAACCCCTGGATCAATGATCTCATAATTTATGCAATTTCTATTTGACTTGTTAGTTAATGACCTAATAAATCATGCAAATTCCCTTTGACTCGCTAATCAATGATCTCATAACTGTAATGATCATAAGATCAGGTGATTCTCACAATAATATCCCTCCTGTGCCTACGTCACAGTCGGTCCTAAATTCTGTAACTAATATTGGAAAAATAAATGGATTAGAGATCTAGATGAACTAAAACAACTCCTTACTGAACTAGTTGAAACCTACTATAGTCGATACAACAGAGTTATTAAATAAGTACAAACTAATAATAACCTAACCGATGCCCAAAAGTTATATCACTTTAATAAGGAACTCGTCCAGAAACCCTTCCTGTTATCCTTATACATAATCCTAACACAGTAACTGAAGCTTTAGGATTTGTAAAAAGGTTTAAATAAGGAAAAGATTTTGTTATTCGAAGTAAACCTAGTTTAGCTGCTGCTAAAAGAAGTTTGAAAAAAGATATTGATAACCTAACTAAACAAATGCAACAAATGACTTTTAACTATGCAATTATTGCATCGGCACTTACTGAACCTACACCAAAAATGCAACAACAATTTCAACTCAGAACCCAGTTCTAATTCAGAAATCAATACCAACTTAGGACCCAATTTCAATTCAGAAATCAATACCAGAGACCTTTTACTACCTGCTACAACTGTGAAAAAAAGGGACACTATGTTCAAGATTGTCTAGCTGAAAAGCATCCTACAATAAGCCAATACAAGCAAATGACTCAGGATAATAGAAAGAAAAATATTAACTATATTGGAATAGAGAATGATGATGTCAATGAAGTATATATTACCAAGGCATCTAGAAATCAACCCTATTCTACTAACAAAAAACAGGTCAAGTTTTCAAACAAAAATTCCGAATTCCAAAAAGAATTTAAACTTAGAAATAGAACTGTTATGCCAGATAAACCTAACACTCAAATAGATAAAATTCCTGTAGAAATTCCTATTGATGTACCTGTTACAAAAAGAACTAAACCAAAACCAAAATTCAAAACTTACCCCTCTGTAATCGAACAAATTAAACCCTATAATGTCTCTACTGACATCCTAAATATGAAGTCTTCTGCCACTATTGGACAATGGTTACAACTTTCTGCTCAGCATAAAAATCTTGCAAAATTTTGTAAAAGAAAAATGAACCTATTACTGAAGCAAATCAAGCTGAAACTGATTACCCCAAAAAGATCACAGCAATGAGATGTCATATCTGAATTAAAGGAAACTCTGTTGTTGCCATCCTTGATTCAGAAGCAGCTGTAAGCATAATCACAGCCAAGCTTATGAAAAAATTAGGATTCCAAATCCAGAAACCTTCCAAAACTATTGTGGTTACTGCCAATAGAAATCATACCAAAGCCTTAGAAATTATCTCTGATATGAAGATTACTATTCAGGATATTATTATTCCTATTAACCTCCAAGTAATAGAATCTATAAATGAAACTCTTCTTCTTGGAATAGATTGGTTCAACAAGTCAAAAGCCAAATTGGATTTTAAAAACAATACTTTAAATATTCGATACTTAGGAAAGAAAGCTACTACTAATGCTACTTATACTACTAACTTTTATCCTATCCTAGATGAAGTAGATAAAAATGAAAAGGATCAATAGATTGATAAGATAGATAATGAAGTAGAAATGGAAACCTACTATTTAGAAGAATGGCCTTCTGTAATCGATGAAATATATTATAACTCCTGATCAGAAATAGAAGCTACTCCTGCTTTCTATTTAATTTAAATATTAGAAAAAAAGATCTATTCAGTTGATAACTCAAACCTAAATGTGAATCTGAAACTTACCCAAGACCAACATGCCCAAGCTGAACAACTGTTGATGAAAAATATTAATATTTTCTCAGAAAATATTTTAAAAGATAGACAGTCCAAAGAATTAGGACAAACTAATATTATTTGTCATGAAATAAATACAAATAGCTATAACTCTGTTAAACAAAGAGCCTATCAATACCCTCCTGATGAACAAGACTTTCTGCAAAAAGAAATTCAAGCAATATTAGAAAAAGGAATTATTAGAGAATCCTTTGGATCCTGGTCTTCTTCTGTTGTACTTGTGCCAAAAAAGAATGGCTGAAAGAGACTTTGTATTGACTATAGAAAACTCAATGCTGTTACAGAAAAAGATGTATACTCACTATCAACTATTTAAGAAATTTTAAACTTATTTAATGGAGCC